TCATGAGAAACTTGGCGGCTTCTGTAGTTACCAACACAAACACATGTAACACACATGCACACATGTGGAGACAAGGCGAACTGGGAGATCACAGGTATGTAGGGAGATCTGCTTCCCATCATTCCTCTGTTCAAACAGGCCAGAGTTAAACACGTCCTCACAACCCCGAAGTTTTAAAAGTGATTTACATGCTTTCCTAAGGAGTGGTCTGGTTTTTCTGAAAGGTCTTCAAAAATAATTTATTAGGCAGCCCTTGGCTTCGGCTGAGTGGACCGTTACAACAGTGCATTGTATTTTCAAATGTTTTGCTGACTGTGGTGAGACCGAACCGCTTGCCTTAGCCATTTTTAGTATCACTGATTCAAAATAAAGACCTTCATATTGCCTCTTTTTCCTGATTAAACCTTCAGAGGAGAGTCTAGATCCTTCTAAAATTCATTTTCAGCCATCATCTACAAACAAACAAAGCAGCGTATGGGAATTAGAACAGGACTATAAGCAGGATAGTATGGCTCCAAGAGGCCAAGAATATAAAAAATCCACATAGCAAAACAACTGTGCCTTTCATCAGTTGGAAGGCCCATTGTCATCTTAAATGTAATAGAGTAAGCAAACAACCTAACTCCTCCTATCTCCACAGCAGTGGTTCTCAACCTTCCTAACGCTGCCACCCTCATGAGGGGACCCCCACCCCATACAATTATTTCATTGCTCCTTTGTAACTGTAATTCTGCTACTGTTATGAATCATAATGTAAACACCGGATATGCAGGATATCTGAAATGCGAACTCTGTGGTGGTCAAGACCCACAGGGTGAGAAGGGCTGTCCTACAGCTATGGACAAGGCCCCTCCTCCCAAACCAAAGGGCGTTTCCTCAACTTCCCTACTTCTGCCAATGGCGCAAGGAAGGCATCGGCCACTGCATCACCAACCAACTACCAGTGACCGACATGAAAAGCCTGCGTTCAGGTCCTCCCCAGACCCAGGTTGCTTTCACAGTCTCCCATTGGTCTCCCTGTCTCTAATCTATCTATTGCCACTTGAATTCAAACAGGAGCAGGCTGCCGGCCAGCTTAAATTCCACTTTAATCACATTACAGGGCAGTTCAAGAATCCTGGATTGAATCCTATCCTTTGAGCAGGGAAATCAGACCCTATATTATTCAGAGCCCCTTTCTAATATTATCTTGTGCTTCTGCTCAGAGGAGCTCTCTGCCATTCAGCTGCTGGAGCACCAGCTCTATTAATGGCTTGCTCAAGCTGTCCTCCCACCTCACTTTCTCCTCGGCGCAAACTCGCCCTCTCGGCACGTTCAGCTGAAATACTAAAGCAGCTTGCGGCAAACACCGCAGCCTGGAGTACAAGCCTTTTTCTTCTCGAAACTCACATGGCCGCTGAGCCACCGATGAAGCAGTAAGCCATCTGTCTCCGACTGTCCAGCCAGCAAACAGCTATGATCTAATTTCATTAATTGGAGGTAATTCCCTCGTGGACCCTGTATTTGCTTTGCTTCTCACATCCCTAGACAGAGACCTAGGAATCTGCTATGTGCTCAAGTGATACTTGGTGAGCCATGAGATGAACTGCTTGCACGTTTAGCTTTTGAGCAAAGCCAAGTTGTGTGTGCGTGTGTGTGTGTGTGTGTGTGTGTGTGTGTGTGCTATGTAACCTTCTGTGCGTCTACTAAAATTCTTCTCCAGGGCTGGCTCAGAGGTTAAGAGTTTTGACTGCTATTCCTGAAGTCCTGAGTTCAGTTTCCAGCAACCACATGGTGGTTCACACCCATCTGTAGTGAGATCTGGTGCCCTCTTCTGGCAGGCATGCATGCAGTAGAACATGGTATACAAAATAAATAAACCTTTGAAAAAGAAAAAGAATCTTCTCCAACACTACAGATATGACTTTTGTATGGGGTCTCTAAGACCACGCTTAGGGCTTGGAGATTTCTTAGGGTGCAGCGGACTCAGCACACGGCTGTACTCACTACTGCAGACACTGCAGTTCCTGGCTGCACAGCAGAATCAGGCCACAGCTTCTCTTGCACTAGACTGTGGCGATATGCCGTCTAACAGGGACAGTCGTGAGGTGTAATAGGACTGGCGGCTTAGGTGACTGTCCTCTGTTTAGTCGGACTAAAACTCTAGGCTCTCAGAAGGCTTTTAGCATGACCCACACGGTTTGTACAAACAGACTAAGCGCAGTAAGCCACGCTCATCATCCAGGCAAGAAGATCACGCCACTAATCATAGATAATCTTGTCGGCAGGCCTTTCAAGGTGGCGGTCTTGAGCCGGCTTTGATTCTTCTACTCAGGAGTCATTTCATATCGCTAGGGGAGAAATGTTAGTGCCAATCATTTCTGATTCACTAAGGTCCCCTAGAATGATTTTTTTTTAAATTAAAATCTAGCATTTGGAGATGTATGGTCTAGGGGCGGCACGTAAGTTTGATAGTTCAGGCTTTCTATTTCGCCCTGTAGAGGAAGGTATCTTTTTTCTTAATTGATGAGTATGAGTGTGTGTGTGCACGTGTGCGTGTGTGCACCTGTCTGTCTGTGTGCATGCTCAAGTTTATGTGTGCATGTGTGTTTTAAGGCTGTCTCATGAAGTCCAGGCTCACCTCCTTCTGCTTCTACCTTGAGTTCCGGGACTCAGGTCTGCACCACTATAGCCAGCTCATGGGATCATTCCTAAGCCAATGCTTTGGTACTTAGGATAAAGGAATTGGTGAACATCTAAGTAAACACAACTTCTTCATCACTGAACGCCAAAGGACCACAGCGTTTCAGGGACACTGTCCTATGCAATCCTCAAGACAACCCCCAAATCACTGACTATCTCAGTTTTCCAGTTTTTACCTGCGAACCCCTAAGTAAGCCCATAAAGTTTTCTCTTGACAAAGCCAGATTTTAGCTGGAGGAAGAGTCTGTTTAACACCAGGCTTCTTGGCTTCTCTCCCCATCCCCCAGCTGAGGATAAATCCGGTTATAATCCTTGCATCTTAAATTATTAGGAAGCTGCCATCAGGAACTCTTCAACAGCACACAGCTTATCACGTTGTCTGGCATCATAATGTTTGAAGTCTAGTCCTGGACCAGCATCTTGGCACTCCCTGATCAGACGGGGGGGGGGGGGGGGGGGGGGGGGGGGGGGGGGGGGGGGGGGGGGGGGAGGGGGTGTCTTGGAAGGTATGCTTCCCAAGACTCAATTAATTTCCTTAGAAAATAAGACCGTCCACTTCATCGCCCCGCTTAGGGTTGTAAATAAGAAAACATGTTTGAAAGACCCAGTGGACTTGTTTACTGAGAAAATGAAAAAAAAAAAAAAAAAGGCCTGCTTTTGATGACTAACAGGCTTGTGAGAAGAAGCATGCCAAAGCCAAAGCAACACTCCAGGCAGAGAAGGAGGTAGAACAGAAAGAAGGGTAAAGATCCAGGTTCTGGCCACCAGGTGTCAGCACTGGGCCAGAAGCCCTAGCCCAGCTGCTCCAGGCTGGGGGAAGGGGGATAAGAACCCTGAAGGAAAACTTTGAGGCCTCAGGGTAAGGCTGTCACTTGACCCCCACATGACGGTCAGGATTGGCTTAGGCTTTTCCATCCCCCCCCCACATATGTATATATATGTATACACACATATATGTTTTTGCACAGTTCATTGTTCTCTGACAGGAGTGTTAAAATGGTTGTAATATAATCATTTAGCTGGATGCCCAGAGATTTGTCACTACAGTTTAATATTAAAGATTAACCTCGGTGGACTTTTATTTTGTAATTTTGAGGACCAGTAGCGCCTCACGCATCTGTTCATTAAGCAATCAGGCGTTTTCTGGCCTCCATAGGTTTCATTAGTGCCACAGAGGGCAATTTTCTGGCTTCCACCCCACAACCCATTGACATTATTTCCTTTACATTATTAATGGAATGGCAGATGAAAAGAATATTTTAGTGTAAAAATTAAGTATATATATGGAATATGCATTGGCGATTAGCCCTTCTCCTTGGCTTTGAGAACTTAAAAATTCATTCCAAAACTTCTTCTAATTTTCTGTCTTGTAGAAAAAAAGAACACACCTAAGACTAAACCTGTGAACTGCCTTTAATTTACTCAAGGAATCCTGCCACACTTTGGCCGCATTCTGTCACCGCTGAAGGATTCTCCCACAGTGCCTAAGGGCTCATTTCAAAATGAGGTCAGGGTCTGTCTGGGCTCTCTTAATTCTTTGTTTGTTTTTCCAGACAGAGTTTCTTTGTAGCGTTGGAGTCTGTCCTGGAACTAGCTCTTGTAGACCAGACTGGCCTCGAACTTACAGAGATCTGCCTGCCTCTTGCAAGTGCTGGGACAAAAAGTGTGCACCACCACCGCCCAACTGAGCTCTCTTATTTCTAAGTCTTCCACTTTGAAACGCACCCGCCACACTAGAAGATGGGTAATTGAGAATATCAGCTCTTAGGCAAGCCAAAGACTACAGCCTCGTCTGCCAGGAACACTTGAGTCAAGTCAAGCCCGACCAGGCGTATCCCAAGTCCTCTCCTGGCCTGACTGCCCTAAGTCACAGTAGAGTCACAGGAATTAATGTCAACCACAGACAGTTCCGAGTGGGCGCTCTTGGAACCGGAACCGTTTGGGTCATTTTTTGCTTCTCAAAGCTTTAAGTTCTATCTTGTATTGTGCAAATATGGGAATGTCTTTAGAGAAACCAGAAGCATCCTCTCCCCCTGTGTCCCCATTGCTCCCATTCCTGGAGAACTGGAAGGAAAACAGACATCAGGGGCCACCTGGAGTCAGGAGAGCCTGAGTCAAGGCCAACCCAGACCAACCCACAGAGAAGCACTCAAAGCCCCCACTGAGCTCAGGTTCGTCCCCGGAGGACGATGAGCTCACTGGGCTGGCAGCTCGGCAGAGCAAAGGGGCCAAGCAAGCAAAGGGATGGATGCTGGCCGCGCAACAAGCCCGGCGGGCGAGCGTGTGAGCGCGGGAGAGCAGCTCGAGAGACCCGTTACCTGGAGGACTCGGCGGTGAAGCTGCCGCCGTCCAGCAGCCGCATTTTGCAGAAGAGGACCCCGTTGACGAAGGGCACCGAGGAGAGCTCCTCCAGCTCGAAGTCCACCTTAAACTTAAACTTCTTCTTCTTCATCATCTTGAGGGCCAGGCGCCGGCGAGCGGGCTGAGCAGACGGGAGCCGCAGCCTCAGCTCGGCCGAGCCTCGCATCCGCCCAGCTCCATGGCCGGGGCCGCGAGCAGCGCGTGGGGGCGCGGCCGGGGGGGCGCTGCGAGCCGGGGCCGCCTGTGGCGGCCGCAGCCCGGACCGGAACGCACCGGCGGCTGCAGCGCGGGCCCCGGCCGCCCGCCAGGAGCGCTCGCCTTTGCAGCTCGCCCGGGGAGTGGGCGCCCGTTCGCTGCCGCCGCCGCCGCCCGTCTTGATTGAGAGCAGGGAGAGGCGCCCGCTGGAAGAACGGTCGCTGCTGCCGCCTCCGGGCCCGAGGCGCCCCCTAGCGGCCGCAGCCTGCAGCGCTCTCGGCGCGGAAGCGGGCGGGCGGGCGGCCGGCGGAGGGCGGAGAAACTCCAGGCGGGCGCACGCCGGGCGGGGGAAGCTGGGGAAGCTAACACGCGACGGCAGTAAGCTCGTCACGCCTCTCGCGGGTTAAAAAAAGACAAACCCAGCCGAAAAAGCTTCCTTCTGCAGCTTCCTCTGCGCCTTTCCTTTCTGGGTGTTTGCACCGCCCCCTTTCTTCCCCTCCCCTCCGTGATTTCATGGCCTCTGAGTTGGCAGAGAGAGACAAATAGAATCCCAAATCTTACATTTTCTTTAGGGACTCTAAATTCGCTAGCCCCGAAACATTAGAGGAAGATTAAGCAGGGGAAAAGAGAAGGTTAAAATGTGTTGTGGGCGCATCAAGTGCCCAAACACGGGCTGTGTCCTGTGTTTCCTCTCGCTGATACCTTGCTTATTTTATTCTTGTGACCCAGGAAAAGGACTAGAGGAGTTAAAATATTTCCCCCATTAAAATCTGTCCATTCTGTGACCTATTAACACATAAAATCAGATTCTGAAGGCATGTGTAAAAGAAATTCTCCGTAAATGAATCACACACACACACACACACACACACACCGAGAGAGAGAGAGAGAGAGAGAGAGAGAGAGAGAGAGAGAGAGAGAGAGAGAGAGAGAACATACAGTATCTGTTGTTAAAAATCTATGCTCTTAGCCTAGCTACATAATGTTTTCAGGGGGGTTGTTTGTTGTTATTTATTGTGGTTCTCTCGTTTTGTTTTTCAGTCAGAGTCTCTAGCCCAGGCTGACTTCAAACTCCCGATGTAACCAAGGATGGTGTTGAACTTGTGATCCTTGTGTTAGGATGATAGGAATGTGCCGCCATGCCAGGTTTATGCAGTTCTAGGGATCGAACCCAGGGCTTCCGTGCACGTTAGCAAGCAACCTCACTGAGTTATACCTCCAGCCTAGGATCTGGTCCTTTCAATCGTTGAAAAGACGTTATCGAAAAGATTCTTTTTCTTAGATCACTCATTTAGTTATTTTTTTTTTAAATTCAATTTATGTATCTGGGTGTCTTGCCTGTGTGTGTGTGCCTGTGTACCACGTGTGTGCCAGGTACCAGGAGAGGCCAAGAAAGAGTGTCAGATACTCTTAAACTGGAGTATTAAACTGGAAATTGAATCAGCGTCCTTTGGAACTGCTGTGCCATCTCTGCAAGCCCACTCATGTGTTTAGTCATATGAATATTCTAATTGCCTAAACTGCTAGTCGCTAGCTAGACTCCAGGATCAAAACCCAAAATCTGCCCTTAAGAATTTTAGAGTCCTGAGCTGGTCATGATGGGTCAGTGGGTCAAGGAACTTGCAGGCGATCCTACGACATGAGTTTGATTCCTGGAACTCTTCTGGTGGAAAGAAACAACTACCTAATCCCACAGGCTGGCTTCTGACCGCTACACGTTCTCTGTGAGGCATGCACACCCACAATAAATATGTTTTTAAAACTTTTAAAGGCAAAACTAGGATGCAGCGCATTGTTAATGGGCGAAGCACCTTCGACCCGGAGAACCCATGTAAAAGTGCAAAAAGAACCAGCCTAGCATAGTTGTCCGGTGAATCCCAAGTGCCACCACGACTGTAGGCTTCTATGTACACACATCTCTGTTTCTCTCTCTCTCTCTCTCTCTCTCTCTCTCTCTCTCTCTCTCTCTCTCTCTCACACACACACACACACACACACACACACACAAACAATACATATCAATTCTTAAAAGACAAAACTCAAGACAGAGGAAAATATAGTACTAAATTCAAATGAAATAGAATTTAGAGGAAAAAGTGATGAATTTAAAGAAACCAACTTTATGAACTTTAGAGTAACTAGGATTTGGGAGAAAGCGGGAGACATTCCAGGTGAAGAAACAAACTCAGACAGGGCGTAACATTTGGGCGCGGGACTTTGGTAGTGGAGGCTTGCTCTCCCGTGGGACTGGAAGACGGGAAGGCATGGATTGTGATGCTGCTAACTTGCAGGAATAAAGGGACTGAGCATCGCGAGCCGGAGAGCAGGCCTGGGATAGAGGACATAATGAGTATCTGTGCAGTTTGCAGGGAGCGAGGTTGAGCCCCAGTGCCTGTGAAAGGTTAAGGTTGAAAATATGCATTTGGGAATTGTGGTATTCGCTGATGGCAGAAGCCCGGAAGGCGGGCAAGAAGGAGCTGCTCTGGAGAATATTTAATGGGCAGATGGAGGAGGAGGTGACTGCGAAGGCTTCCAAGAACAAGCAGCCCGAGAAAGAGATTGAGAGAGATGGCCTGAGAGCCAAGAGCTTGAACCTTGTAACATTAGCTATTAAGATCTCCTGGGGTATTGGGTGAGAGACAGGAGGCTTCCTGGCAAGCTCCAGGTTCAGCTAGAGACCCTTTCTCATTGGCGTATGATGTGGGCCTCTGGCCTACACACACACACACACACACACACACGCACACACACAGAGGGAGGGAGAGAGACAGAGGCTTGCACATGTGTGCTCTGCAATCCTGGAGAATTTGGGTTGAAATGCCGTCACAAGGCTGAAGAGCTCATAGGTCATTGGTTACATTAGTGAGAGACTTTTCCATAAAAGATGTTGGCAAAGTGATATTAGCATGGTTTCGCAAGTGAGTAGATGGTACTTAATAGGAAGGATGACTAAAAGGGCCTCTTTTTTCCTTTTCTTTACTAATTTTTGTCATTGAATGAGAGGCGGCGTATGTCCAAAGAGGGTTCAAACCGTCCAGCAATATCCAGGAACTTTCTGGCACTTACTGAGTTCCTATCATATGTCAAGCGCTTTATAGATCTGAGATGAGCCATAGAGGCTGGCTACATCCTATGGAGGACGTAGGATAACAAGCAGAGGGTTGTAGTGCAGTGTAACATCTGTCTGTGATGGAGAGGGAGATTGCCGGCATAGACGATAACACCGTGCAGCCAGCCACGTTCAGTGCTTTCTGGGGTTAGTGCTGCTGGAGCTGAGGCCCGAGGATGAGGGTGGGGGCGGGGAGCCGTTTCTAGCTTATTCTCCTGAGTGGAGCCTCAGAGGAAGAGGTCCTGTGTTGCAGAGGGAACTGAAATTAGTTCTGTCTGTCTGCAGTTTAGAGTCCTGCTTGGAATTGGGTGTAATGGAGAGTCGTTGGTGTTTTAAATTGGAGGAGTGATGTATTCAGATTTGCGCTTTATAAAGATCCCCAGCTGTAGTAACACTGGGAAACAGCGTACAGTTTGACTATGAGACACCTGGTATGAGTCAGGAGGAAGGCAGGAAATGGCCCTGAACTCCAGAGTTCCGTGCAGAGGGGGGAGAGGTGAGGAGAAATAACCCTGATGTCTCTCACCTTCTCACTTAGGATCTGCAGGTGCTTCCCATGATCACAAGCCAGCCCAAGCCAGCGAGCAGAGGAGGAGGAAAAAGGCAGTTTGGAGGAGCTAGCCATTGTGCGGCATGCAGGGGTGGGAACAGATCCAAGTAAGAGGCCCAAAAGCTGTAAGCACACAGAACGTCCAGCCAGCATCCTCTGCTGGAATCCAAAACAAGGCCAAATAGTTTGAGAAAGAAAAGTCTTTCTTTCAGCATTTTGGTCCTTCTGAAGTCCTTGGAAGGGATTGAGGGTCGGAAATCTGCAGGATACTGAATTCCAAGTCAAATCACCTGCTTGGCTTCCTCCATCTTCTGTCCTAGGAAAGTGTGCATTTCCCAGTCTCCTTGTGGGCAGATATAGCTATGTGCCTTCTTCTAGCCTAGTGGTTCTCAGCCTTCCTAATGCTGCTACGCTTTAAAACGGTTCCTCATGTTGTGGTGGCCCCCAATCATAAATTATTTTCGCTTCTACTTCATAACTAGAATTTTGCTACTCTTATGAATCATAATGTAAATATTTTTGGAGACAGACGTTTGCCAGAGGAGTCATGGCCCACTGGCTGAGAAGCACTGTTCTAGCCAATACTGTCTGAGAAGCAACATGCCACTTCCAAGAGGAGATGAAGCAAGACTTCGAGCAGCTTTCTGGACCACCCCCCCCACCCCCCCGCCTCACCAATCATAGAGAGGTACGGGGAAGACTTGGCTTCAGATGGGATAACCACGAGATCAAAAGAGCTCTGGTCTCTGTAAAAGAACAAAGAGAGCAGCTGCCCACATCTACAGCCAACATATTGGACTGAGGAAGAAACTCCTATCAGGCCGGGGAGATTTGGAGACTGTGTGTTCTGACAGCACCAGGCAGGTTGGTTCCGACTAGAATGCGGACATGGAGCTGATGATTGGATGCTGCTACTAACTCTTCCCGTCACGAGGCCCCTAAGAGGCGTCTAGGTACCATATTCATGTCGTCATAACTTGCTTGCAAATGGCCACAAATGCCAGGGGATAGCCTGCGTTTACTCACACCTGTCTTTATCTTAAGTACATCTCTTTAGCAGACATTATTTGAACCTATAGTCTGATTGCCAAGGGAACCTCAGAGGTGTAATTTTTTAAAAACTTTCCCGACCTCTTTGAAGAGTATGGTAGAATGCAAGGTAACAACACACCTAAGTTTCTCAGCGCCCATTGTGCGAGTTCCGCGAAGTTTGCTGGTTATCTTTGAATCTTTGCTGTAAAGTTTGGCATATCTGATACTACTAGGTAGCCAATAAGTGTTTCTTGGGATGACTTGGACTAAGCTGTTTTTCACCTCAGGCAAACATGACAGAGCTACAGGGCATGTTCCAGGACGATTTGTTGCCAAAGGTTTGACGTTCTTAGAGTGTGCTCTACTGCATGAAGGGCGTGGCGGCCGCTGAGAAAGGAAGGTGGAGGTGGTGTGTGGGTCACACTTTCTGTCCCTGTGACGATACCCAAGGAGAACAAGGAAAGATTTTGTTTTTGGCTCATGGCTTCGGGGCACAGCTGGACCTGTTGTTTTGGGACTGCGGTCAGGCAGAACCTCCTGGT